GACCGTTTCTGAGGTGAAAAGTGCGTAAGAATAGTATTCACTTTTTTAATGGGAGGACACAGTTAACAAATCCTCAAAACATGGAAACCACTCATAGTCCTTCATCTTCAGTAAAGGCAACTGACCCTGCTAATTCAAATTCAGGATCGTCAGCCTCCATTTTCAGTTCTGTCACAGACGGGCCATCTAGCCTTTTGAACCAGACAGCTGAATGTTCTCTTGAAAAATTGGAGAAATGCAGCAAAGAAATCCGTGTAAGTTTAAAGCAGGTAGATAAGATCATCTTTAGGTTGCCAGCTTGATAAAACTACTACTTCTTTTTTTTTTTTTGTGGGTCATTCACTGAAGTCCTAAGTACTAATTTTGAAGTCTCAATCCCAGTCAGTGATTCGCAGAATGAAATGTGCGGCCATCATAGCAGCCCCAAAAGGATGTCCACCTCTGCTGTAGATTAACTTGGCATTTAATAAGTCACTATACTTTAGCCACAATTTCTCATCTGAAAAGTGTACAACCAAAAAGTGCAAAGACTATGTAGTAATTTAATGGAAATAGATTACTTTATACAAGCTATAACATGACATATTTGAGATACACACACGTGCACACACAAATAAATAACATACATTTTAAAATTAGCTCCTCTGATAACAATAAGCAAATATTAATTACATGTATCAAAAAGCTTCTGAAGATGATGAGGCCAAAATTATTTTTTGGAGTTGGCAGATAGCTGTTGAAAAGTGCTGAAACTTTGGTTCATATTTTAAATCCTGGACTTAGAACATTGGGATGCCAGATGTGCAGAGCTTTCAAATACTCATTTTTGTAACATTTTATAATTTCTTTAACATTAAACCTGCCTTTTCCTGGTCTTGGATCTGTGATGGAATACAGTTCTTGATGTTCCTAGGTAGCATAAACAAGTCCTCAAAATCAGTAGGTTCTGCTTAAGTAATAATTAGAGACCTGAGGTTGAGAAACATTAATATGAAGCATTAAATTTTTCATAATGTAAATAAGGTTATGGCTGCCAGTTAATGCAAATATTTTAGTAGTTGGCTATCAAGAGGGAACCATGTCACTCCAAAATTCATCGGTACATCCAGAATATCAAGCTAGGCAGTAGACAAATGATATGCAGGAAAATATATTTATACAATACAAAAATTAAGGTCAGGCCTTTTTTGTTATAATAACTGATTAAGAGTTGCTCAGTTCCTTATCATGAGCTGCCCTGAAGATGTGATGAAGTCTGCTGTGTATGTGTTCACCTTGTTCAGAGATGAGTAAAAAAGTTCAATCAATTCTCACTTATGATAACTGTTCCTTAACTTGTTGACTAGGTACCTACAATCTTGCATAAACAATTTGTTCAGTGTGGAGAGCAGGATCCTCAGAATTGTCTGAGGATCCTGCTCTCCACAAATAAATGCCCCCCCCAAAAGTCCAAAAAATCACGAAGAATGTGATACATAAATCAGATAAAGACCTAGGGACTGCATGCTAATTGAACAGCACTGCCATATATGCAAGCTTCCCACCATGAGTATTATGGAATGTTAACTGTTAATGCCCTCTTTCGTGGAATCAGATTGTAAGTCCCTTAGTAAAATATATGTTCCTTCAGCAACCATTTCAAGAACTCAGAAATGAGGGGAAGAAGACAGTGGTCCCTAATGGGTACAGAGTTCTTAAGCAGGTAATCATGAAATACATGTAGAGGATCATTCTTCTTAATAAAAATGGTAGCAGCACTCTAAGGAAATGAAAAAAGGTAGATAAATAAACTTACTTTCTGTCAGTTTGCATGAATTTTATGCAGGCCAGCTCTGTCTTTGATATTGGGTAGTTCCATGTATATAGTCCCTGCAGGCTTATCCAAGACATAATGGTCATCCCAGCTGTCCGGCTAAAGCAAACAGGAATCTATATTGGGCAGCAGTAATATAGGAAGATGCTGGAGGTGGATGGTCACTTTAGTGACAACAGGAAAGGCATCATTTTATATTGTGTGGGAGAGGACAATGTCGAACTATTCCTGTATTTTATCAAAAAAAATCTCCTCCATGGTTAGACAAGATAAAGCTGTTGACCATGACAGAGCACTGGATGACTCCCAACATGTTGCTGAGGAAGAGCCTTGGCTGTTTCACACTACTGTTTATGGCATGGCTAGATTAAACCCTTTGGGACATCTGGTTGCTGATGTTGCCATGCAGGAAAAGATAATCTGAAGCTGCAAAGACAGAATTACAGTGGGGACGTGGAATGTTAGGAGCATGAACATAGGAAAGCTCAACATAGTGAAAAATGAAATAAATCAACTACATACAGTATTGATGTCTTAAGTATCAGGAAATTAAATGGATTGAAATTAGATTCTGTTGTTATTATTATGTGCTATCAAGTAAGGGTTGACTTAGCGACCACATAGATAGATTTTCTCCCAGTCACCTATCCCCAACCTTAATCCTTCAGATCATCCAACTGTGCATCCATCTCTATTATAATTGAATCCACTCACCTTGCTGCTGATATTCTCCTCTTCTCTTTCCTTCCACCTTTCTCAGTATTATAGGGTTTTCAAAGAGCTAGATCTTTGCACAATATATTCTAAGTATGATCATTTGAGCCTGGTCATTTGTGCCTCAAGTGAGAATTCTGGGTTAAATTGTTCAACAGTCCCTTTGTGTGTTTTCTTGGTTATCCATGGTATTCTCATGAGTCATTTCCAATACCAAAGTTCAAAAGTGTTGATACTCTTTTTATCCTGCTTCTTCAAAGTTCAACTTTTGCTTCAATTGAATGTCATGGGAAAGTCACTGCCTGCACAATTCTGATCTTTGTAGGCATAGAACATCCTGACATCTGAGTATCTTTTCCCAAGTCTTTTATAACTTATATCAGTAGAGTTCTAGCATTTATTCTAGTGTCTGTTTCCTCACTTGTTTTACCTCATAGGGGTGACAACAGTCTTGAAAGCCTGACAGTATTTCTCTTTCCCACCCTCTTATTCCAAAGAAAGTCAGATGAGTTTCTTCCTCATCCCTTCCTGTCTTTTTGGGCCAAGTTCATGTTTTCCTAATGGTTGCTACATACCTTCTTCATGGATATCTCTGTATTTCTCTACAGGGAGATTCAGTCCCACTTGCTGCTCTGAGTTAAGGATTACAACTTGGTTCTGATGCTGGAGCAAAATATTGGCAACTTGGTCCATAGTCAGGGAGTGCAAGGATATCTATAGCCATTTTTTAATCTTGGGATCATATTGTGCGTTCTTTCCCCATAGTTTTGAGAGTTGGATTAGACAGATCTTGCTCTCAGACTTCACTCGTGCATGACAGTAAATCTCTGCTTTTCAGTTGAGAAAGAAACTCAACCCCATACTCATTAACTAGCAAACAGCAGAAGCTTCATAGATTCAGCATAGCTGGATGAGTTGCTTTATTGGAGAGAAGAAGGATGTCATATATATGCGAATGATTTGCCTTCAGCAGAACATGAGAATCAAGCTTTATATGTCAGCCACAGTGTTTAAATTATGGGCCTTTTCCTCCCATCCTTTCAGCCAATTTTCTCAGTTTTGAGATTGGGAACTTATTTTACATGTTTACATAATGTTTCTGCTTGGCCTGAGCATCTCATGGTTCTCTCTTGCCAGCTTCAATCCTTACAACAGTGCTGTAATAGCTATATTCTAAAAAAAGCTAGTGGGAAATTTGCATCAGGTTAGTGACTGCTATTCCATATTTTACATATGCAGAGTAATATTATACAAAGTTACAAGCACGAGAAAGGAGGAACAGATTATTAAGCATATTTCAACCGTTGCAAATTATTTAAAGTTTATTACATTTCTTATAATGTAGCATTTTATTTAATAATCTTTGAGGGTTCAGTTACAAGTTACATGAACAATTACCTAAGGAAATCCGCCTATCTTTTCATTCCTCCAAAGTATCTTTGAAAGAAATAATTAGAAGAAAGCAATTAATTTGCAATTAATACAAAATTGCAAATTCTTTATCCAGCATATGATTTGTATAATTAGCAACTAACCTCTATAATAGGCTGAACAGGCTATCAAGATTTGTGGAACTTAAACGTGACAATCCTCAATCTGTGCCTCCTAAACTTTTCTGATTTAGTTAGCTACACTTATGTGAAGTTAGTGATGAAATTAAGATCAGGTTTCTGCTTATTTAGCTGTTGATCTTGAAGTATCAGTATTTAACTTTTGTTTAACTTAGATTAATTAGAAATGTTTAGATTAATTAGAAATGTTTAGAAATTCAGTTAAGCATATTTTCATTTTAACCTGAAGGGGAAAAAAAGATTACCAGAGGCATTACAATCTTCAAATTTTTTGTTATACATTTGATACATATTTTGACCTGGAATGGATGCTTAATGCTGAAGAAGAGCTACAGTATGATGTTACATGTTGAGTTACATTTCTGAGTTGGTAGAATGCTTGCTTTGATGAAGTATATAGGCAAGCAAGTTGTTAAATAATAAGGAAGAATGTTTATCAGTGAGATTTTGTTTATTGAGCTATTCCACCACCAACTTTAAACTTATATATAGGTACAGTATGGTCAGAATAAAATGAAAATAATTGCATTTTGTACAGTAAAAGGTTAATTCAGTTCCTTTCTTTATAAAGTCTCCTTAAAATTTTGGATTTCCTGAGTACAAGATTCTATATTTTGTTAATTTATTTGGTAGCACTGGCTAATATGCAACAGATCCAAATTTTGTTGTTCTTTGAATTAAGCCTTTTGGAAGTCTGAACTCAGCTGATACAGGGTTACTGATCAAATAAGCCTACCATCTGGAGTGTTGAATGATCAAGCATTAAATATCTCTGGTATAATCTCATTAGATTCAGTAATAACATTTGGTCTTCATGGTTCATTGAATACTTGTTAGAGGTTACAGTTATGAGTGCATAAACATTTATATGCTTTTTCTTTTCTTTTTTTCATCTTATTCAGCCAACAAGTCCCAAATTTGGAAAAGCGGATTCTTATGAAAAACTGGAAAAACTAGGTGAAGGTTCATATGCTACAGTGTTCAAAGGGAAAAGCAAGTAAGTGTATTTGTAACATTCTCATGTTTAAGATTTTGTCAAGTACAAATTTTAGAAAAAACAATTTTAATGAAGACATTAAAGTAACATTTTAATAACAATGCATTAATAGAAATGTTGTGCCTCAGAGATGGCACAATATTGAAGTAAAACTTCATGCTGAAAATCAGTTATACTAAATGGGCTTAAATCTAAGACCAGTGATAGTTGGCATGATTATTTTCAATATTTTTTCACCTGTGCCTCCAAATTCTCCTTTCCTAACTCACTCAGCCATGTGTGTATATATCCATAAGCTTCTGCGGTCAATATGTTACAAAAGGTGTAACCTACAGTTGAACTCTTTAAAAATGTTTCCTATACTTTAGACTCCATGATGATCTGCTAAATTTTATTTTTCTATCTGCAGAAAACATTTGTTTAACTAATTAACCAAACTAATTCAATTGACACTTTCAAGTTGTCTACTTGTCACACTATGGGCAAAAATTAATTGCTTGAATTGAATCTACTACTGTGTATGTTTCTAAGCCCAGAACAACCTAACGTCAAAACCTTATCTATATTCTAAAAGTATAGAGTTGCTTGAAAGTTTAACAATTGAAATTATAATTGTTAGGGAGTTAATATTTTTATTTTATTTATTTATTTTATTTATATTAAAATAATAGTTTACAAATGCTTCTTAGATTGAAAAATGTTTGAAAGTTGTTTGTTTTAATAGGCTAAAGTGAAAAGAAATGTCAGGTGGATGTCTCTTCCCATTTTTTAATTTGTATTAGTGAGAGTTGGATAATTCTTATAAGTAACAGCAAAAGAGTAATGTTGACATGTAATCCTATGAGCCAGATAGATAACTATGGGAAAAAATAATCCACATAGCCATTCTGTAAATAAAAATAATAAAATGGAAAGATATGCTAAGAAAAAGAAGAAATTTTGATCCTTGGGGGCTGGTAGACACATTTTGAATTTTGAGAATGTATTGTGGGTGTTCTCGCAAAGTGGCTGGTAAGGTGCTTGCCAATTTACCAGATATAAAACAGTTACAGTATTTATCATAATGTTGCTTGCCACCTCTTCTATTTCTCCCTCACCGGACTCTCTTTACTACTTGTGCAGACTTAATTTCTGAACAAACATTGAGCTATATCTGTCCATTATTTTTATAGTCCAAAAAAGCCATTTGCGGTCAGAAATTATATAATACAAAGTGACGTGGGTCAGGGAGGCCGCTGGACTCCAAGGGAGCTGTTTCTGGACACATTAGGTGCTTGTAAAATGCTGACAATGTTCATAAATTTTCCAGAGAAAAATTTCTGCCATAGTCTAAAATAGGAGAAGAAAACTAACACAGAGAAGAAAGTGGGAAAGATGTCTCAGGAAAAGTATATATATTCTAAGTTTGAAACTGGGGTAATGTGGCATCTCATAGTTGCTGGAAGAACACTTAAGCTTATAGAGCAACAAGGAAAAAATATGGATATATTTAAGGATGCCTTTTATTGGGGAGAGGTACCACAGCTGGAAAAACAAAAGTCTTAGGAATATATGAGCATATGAAGATAGAAGTATTTGAGGATTGAGGGAGAGATTAGGATTTTGAAAATAGACATTGATTTATTGTTGTTTAGTTCTGTTCATTATTTACACTTCATTTTCCATTTTAAAAATCTATTCAAATAAGCAAATTCAAATAAGATTAACCAACAGTCACAAGGATTATTATTATTGGTCACACAGTCAGCCAAATGTTTAGACTGGGTTTGGCATTTTTATCCACCTGTCGAGTCCTTCCCATGGACCTGGGATAGGCAGATGTTGTTTGATGGTGTTAAAGGTATCATCGCAGGATATAAATTTTTGCAGTTGACTGATGGTGATTTTGTCAGTGCCGATGGTGCTCAAGTGGTACTCCAGATGTTTTGGGATTGCACCCAAGGCACCT